TAAGTGCGTTCCGAGATATGCCACCGGAAATGGTCAGGATGTCATTGTGCCCTCCTTCGGGAGGCCTGTCCCTTTTCCGGTGATAGTCCAGTTCTTGCCGAGAATCTTTCTCGGCTTTCTTCTCTTTGCGGCGTTCCGTGACATATTTCTTTAGGTATCCTTTTTGGACCAGCTCTTCGATCTGGTCCTTCAGCTGAAGGCAATCCTCGGTGCGATGCCCACAAGATTCGTGGAACTCACACCAAAGGTCCTTCCCTTTCTTTTGATGCCAAGAAAGAGGTGGCTTCGGCTTTTTGAATCTTCCCTCCTCCCTCGTCGCACTAAAAATTTTAGTACGTGGTAAGGTGAGAGGGGTGTAAGATTCAAATTTCCCTAGATAGGGAGCCTTATCCTTCTTCGGCTCAGCGGTCAAGGGAGGTTCTGAGGCTTTTGCCTTCCCTTTCCTTGACGCTGGAACTTCGGCCTGCTGCCCTTTTGGCTTCACAAGCCCTGATTGGGATTGCAGCTTCGCATTGTTCCATTCCTCGGCTCGGATAAATTTATCCGAAGCATCGAGGGCTTCTTCCAGGGTCTGCGGGGTATGCATGACCATGAAATCCAGAAATTTGCCAGCTTGTAAGCCATTCCGTAATGCAAATACGGCTAGGCTTTGATCCAGACTTGTTATTCTGGATGACTCGTTGCTTAAGCGAGTCAAATAATCTCGGAGACTTTCGTCCTCCGCTTGCTGTAGGCCCATGAGCTCTGCAGTGGTCTTCTCTCGGCGATTAGCCGTAGAAAACTTGCTCTTGAATTTATTGGCTAGATCGCTCCAGCCAGTTATTGAGCCTTCCTTCAGCCCTTTGGTGATCCATGATTGGGCCACACCTTTAAGGGTCGTCGGGAAGTACATACACCAGGTAGCTTCGGACCTGGGGTTAAGGTACATATGCCCCTCATAGGAGGAAATGTGGTCCTTCGGATTCGAAGTACCGTCATATGTAATGTGTGCCGGAATTTTAACCGTTGGCACATGTTCCTCCAGTATCCACCTTTGGAATGGGGAACTGGTTGGAACCATTACGGCCTTTCCCTTCTGCCGCACCGAAGGAACCCTGCTTCTCCCTCTCAGAGAGGTGGATGCAGGGGGTGTCCCCTCGCGTGACATAGAGGGATGAGACCCTTCTGGGAAGGTGAGGCGACTATGCACCCCTCCTTCTCTGCCACCTAGGCGCTTGTGAACGCTTCGGCGAGATACATTATGGCTGTCATGCTGATCTTCGGAGTTCCGAGCTTTGGAATTTTTGGAGTGGCCGAAGCCCCTCTTCTAATTCTGCCCAGAACCGCCTGGATGCCCAGCCCTTCGGCTGCCTTCCCTTTTTGAGGATGGAGCCTGCTTCTCTCCCTCGGTTATGCTCTTCCTCTTTCGATCATTTGATCTAGGAGGGGGAGAGGGTGGCTTTTTTACTGATGGGAAGCGTTCCCCCAAAGTATGCATGAACTCCATGCACACAACCATGGCTTTCATGACCTCCTCGGTTGATGGTCCGGTAGGAGGAGTTGAGTGCATGCTCGGTGATGGATCACGCTTATGAACCTCACTATCCCTCGGCGAGTTCCCATTTAGGTAATCTTGCTGGGAAGGAGATATTTCATGCGAATTTTCTCCCCTTGGGGAATTGGAAGCAGTCGGTTCAGGCGACGGTGAAGGTGTTCTACCAGCCCTTACCGTTATAAGACCGGTCTTCCTAGCTTTTTTAGAGCTCTTTGCACTCTTAGTCATTTTTTGAATTGGCTAAGATTCGAATGAGATTTTTGGCTGAATTTTTGTAAGTATCTCCACAGACGGCGCCAAATTGTTTCGGTCAGAAAACAATGGGCCTTCGGATGGCCCTTCGGATGAGTGGAGATGAAGCCCAATTCGAGTGATAACCGAATTGGGGATTTCCTGCGCAGCAATGCAAACGTAAACTAGCCTCGGGGGGTGTGCCGAGGAAGGCCCCTCCGATGCCGAAGTCAGTACGGATGCAAAAGTATTAGAGAAGAGCTATGCAAGAGTATTTGTTGCTTGAGACATTTAATGTGAATGAATGTAATTGTATTGAAATGAAAGCTTTTATACCTTTGTTCCATTAGCTAGATTGGGCTTGATCAATCAAATGGGCTGCCATTTGATTGGGCCTTGCTATAATTGACTTGGCAAATGTATTGAAGGGTTGTGCCTTGCCTATTGGGCTTTTATTATTTTCATTATGACTGGGCCCACATATAAGTCATTTTGGACCCCAAACACTTCCTATGTTGTTCCATCTTCCTGCAAGTCTGCCCTTCTTCCGAGTATTCGACTTAGTTATCATCCATATATCAACAACATCTGGATTTCGTGCTTCTTCACAACGCCAATATAAGTAGCCAATAGATTCATTGTGTCGTAGGTAAACACAAAGGCTACCATCACCGGTAGCATTGATCTTCGTCTTTCTCAATATTGCTATAGATCGGCTTTAGGTCAGCCACCCTTTCGAATACTTCATTCACCATATCAAATTTGAATATAAAATGTACCTTATTCTCTCTATTGTGATCAATTGTATCAAAATAGTCTATATAGTGACATCGACATCTCTTAATCTCTAATGTCCAATGTAACGCATCATTCGATATAATTGCCTCCGCACGTCTGTTATAGTCACACTCCGTATTAATCTTGATCTCACACATCGAAAAACAACCAGTGTCGATAAACCAATGTGCGGAATTGTTGTGCGGACTTGTACCTAGTAACGAACACGAGTTTGTAGTCGTCGATTGTAGAAGCATAGCCAAACCTGGAAAATAAAATTGGAAACATAAAATTAGGTGGTGATGGGATGATCCGATACTCGTCGGTGGTGGGATTCCAAAGATAGAGGGTGTTGTCAATACAAACGTATAGTATTCCATTATACGATGCGAAAACATGTACATGTCGTACATCCTTGTCTACCAATGTTGTTTTCTTGATAAATTATTTTGTCACCAAATGTTTTTGAAATTTGAAAAGAAATCTTGATAAAAATAATTTTAGAGAAAGAAATTATAAAAAAAACTGAATATTTTGAAATGATTTGCCATTAAATACGTGGTAAAAATCAATTGATAATTATCTTTTACCTTTTTTAAAAAACTGTTTCACCAAAATATCACGTTCTTTATATTTCAATGCTCTTTTTTTTATAAAGTTGTGATGTTCATTACAAATATAAGTTATTTAAACTAGTTTTGATCTGGTGTACCATACCAACTATTACTTTTGGAGCCTTGAGGGGCTGCTTGTGGGCCTCGGATTTGGACCTCGTGTGGACCTGCAAAATGAACTCTGATCCCAGGGTTAGGCCTCGTTCACTTCACCTAATTTACGAAGAACTAAAATTATTTTTACTAAACTGAAATTATTTTTGCTAAAATGAAATTATTCTTACTGATTTTATATTATATAATCTATATTTCTTCTTTAAAGTTAATAAATTTTTAAGAATTAACTTATTTTTACCGAACTAAAATTATTTAAGTGAACTGAACTTATTTTAGTGCACAAAGGCCTTAGCTACAATCTAACTTTGAGTTACGGAGTATTATTTTCCAAATTACAAGTAAAACATTACAAACCCCCTAAAACTAATAGCAACTAAAATAATCTGGAAAAAAAAATCAACTACTTTATTAAAATGTAAATCAATAAAATACTAACTACACTATCGAATACCATTTTTTGCAGACGGATTTGAATCGAATAAGTGATTTTACCGGTAATCGTAACAGTATCTCAAGGATCAAATCTTCTGGTATGTAATCTTCATGATTTGATGAAGAAATTGAAGAAATTTTCTGTTTCTTCTCTTTGGATTTCATCAATGCTGCGAGTGTGACAATGTTTCTCTAGCTAGGGTTTTGGGTTTCGACTTTGAGGTGATCATAATTTGTTAACTTTTATTCTCAACCTTTATTGACTGTTAAATTTATCCGAAAAATCTCTCTTAAAAAAAAAATTAAAAAAAATAAAATCCAATTTTACCCGTCAAATAAGTATTCCAAGTCCCTCCCACAAAATTAAAGATTCAAATTATGGTTTTTTTTTTCCATTTTAATTAATTTTTATATTTCAAGATGTGCATTTAAAAAAAAATGCATATGACTATTATATATATTACTTATATGCAGTAACACAAAGTTTTATATGTGGTTGGGCACACCATATGGCGGGATTATTTAGTCAAGGGCTACTCGGTTGATCAAGGGTTACTCGATTGGCCAGGGGTTACTTGAGCCGTCCAAGGTTAACCGATCAATATTTTGGTGTGCGTGAGCCGGCCAGACAATGCGGCCAGCGAAACAAGCTTGGAAGTAAAATATATATCAATTGAAATATATTGAAATCTTGAGTCACTAATTAGAAAAAATGAAGTAGCACCATTGATTATATGCTGCCTCCATTTTTCTATCATCGCGACAATTATGATGTCACTCATATGCGCTCACAATATAAATCAAGTACCTTACCCAATTTAAAGTTAAGCTCTTTCATTTTTTTTTCTACACATTAAACTATGCAAAATTTCAGAAAGGATTGAGCTTTTCAAAAGTTGTATTGGACGATGCCCTGGGTGTCGGGCAAGTAGGCTAGTTTTTTAAGCGTTTAGATCATTGCATGCCTAGTTTCTACTCTGTATAGAAGTAGATTAATAAAAGCTAATTTCATGTCAAAAAACCTATTTAATTATAATTATAGAATAACAATAATATTAAAATATAATTATCGTGGGTATGATGTTAGAAAGGACTACTTAAAATTTTATTAAGTAGCTCAATATTAAAAGTTACATCACAAGTTGCAAGACACAAGTCACCTTTTTTTTATTTTCTGTTGAAAAAGGAGAAAATATCGAAAGTCACAAACAAACAAGTTATCCTAGCATAAGATCAATTTTTCGAGATCTACTATGAAACCAGAAATTAAGGACTATAAAATCTTAATATTTAAGTTAAATTCCCTTAAATTTGGAGCAACTTGTACCCATGCGAAGAAGAGACGAAGTGACTCCAAGCTTATTAGTTTCAAGGTCTATTTCCACCAAATTATCCTCCATTTGCTTCCCACCTATTACTATTGATGTGGTTGGGCTTGAACCTCCATCTACAAATCCTAAGCACATTACATTCTCTGAAACCTTCACCATCGAATTCGCGCCGTAGATCCTCCACCTCGCATTCTTGTTGTGCAACAAGGGACTTTTACCATCCATTATTATGTCAATAATTGGTACTGATGGACCAGTTTTAGCGTTGTTAACCACTGATTTTGTACTAAAACATGCCCCGAAAGGAGCTACTGGAGCAACCCTAGTCATCTTCATGGCGGTTGCTTTTGTTACAAATACGTTGATAAGAGCCTTGTATATTTCACTGTGTAGTACAGTGTAAGGGTCCATAGTGCTAATCTTAGTCCCCCCAACTGCTTCCTTGATGTCGAAGGACAACAACGAGGATCTAAAGCGTATTGGGGTTCCGTCGATTTTGATAGACCTTACCTTGATGAAGTATTCTACTGAAGTTTCTCCATCTGATCTTATTGGCGCAGTGCTGTTAGGATTGATTATAAGTGGGGTGGTTATAAGTGATTTTGACATATAACTAGGGCTTCCTCCGAAGTAGACAGCGCCATTATAACCCGAAGAAGTGGAAGAGGGAAGACAAAGAGCAAACTTACGAGGAACCTTGAAAGTTGAGGAGATTTGGGAATGCAAGGCAAAAGGTACCTTTGCAAGGGTAACCACCCCTTTGGTATGAGGTGATAAGCCCTTCAAAGGGCCTTTGTCAGCGCAACTAAAAGGAAAAGTAGGTAAGCTAGCTTTAGAGAGTTGAGCTAGGGAGTTTGGTTGGGCTTGCTTGTACAAGCTCGATACATCCTCAACGAGACCGCCAGCATAGAGGCTGTCACCCCATGGGGTGTATGCGTAAACACCGCAAGTGTCACCGGAACAAAAAGTCCCTGTTGGCTCATAGTGCGCACACTTGGGTGAGTTGCAGGGTACTTCATGGTAGGTTGTGGAATTACTGTTGTAGCCATAGAGGTCACAAGCGAACCAGGACCATCGATTACCGATATCAATGACCAGATACACACGAGTAGATGGGCGTGTTCCTACTAGAAAAGAGGTGTAGTATTGGGACTTGGTGTTGTCCTTGACAATAGGAAGCACAAAGGTAGCATTGGAGAAATGAAAGGAGAAAGCAGAGATAATGAGAAGAAGGAAACAGAGCAAAAAGGGTGTTGAAGCCATTAAATATATTGAAAGAAATTGGTGGCTTTGAATTTGAGATGGATTTGCCAAATCTAGTGAATGTGTATTTATAGTACGAAGTGGAGCGTAGAGACTAGTGAGTGCATGATACCCCCCACCTTTCAGATTTAAAAAGAGCTCAACTTGTTCATAAAAAATTAGAAAAAGAGCTAAACATGTTCATAAAAAATAAAAGAGAGCTCAACATATCAATAAAAATTAGAAAAAGAGTTCAACATGAAAATTAAATAAATTACAAGAAGATTAAAAATAGAATGAGCAAGCTACTCTAATCTGTTAAAAAAAACGGCTATACTGACTAATCCATTAAAAATACATCTAAAGTAACGCAAATTCTTCCTCCGTCTTATAAAGATTGCATTATATTGTTCCTGTAAATGAGTAAAAGAAGGGCCCCCCTAGCGGCACGAGTGGCAAATTATTCTGTAATATGATTTTGTGAGCTAATCCCTTCTTTTGGACGCAATGCTGTAATTAACAGAGCAATTTTTTAACACTAGATGCCACTTGCCGGTTGACTAGTTCTGCTCGACGTAGTCATTCTTTTTTATTTTTGTTATTCTAATTGTCAGATTGTACTATGGAAATCAAGGTAATTACGTATCTAGAATAAAAAAAAAAAAATTCATTCATTTAATACCTAAAATTATTGGTATACCTTGGGGGTTTGATGAGATATGGATTTAAATCTCTTAAAATCATAAACCAAACACAAGGTACGAGTTTAATCCATTTTAAAACACATACCTCATACCTATATCCCGTGAATCAAACACCTCCTTAATGAACTATCACCCAACAAGAAAGGAAAAAACAAGCAGAGTTTTAATAATTCATATGCTCCATTCTTTCCAATAATTATAGCCCAACTGGGTAAAAAATAAGATAACCCTCAACGATGTTTAAGGAAAGTTTTTATATATTCAAGAGGATAAGCCACTGGAGGAAAAAAATTAAATAAAATAAAAATAAAAAAAAAAGAAGAGAGAGATTGACACTAAACAGCCTCAACATGATGGAGTCCTTCATAAAATATGCGAGTGGCAGTGGCAGGTCGCAACATGTAGGATAGCTGAAAATAATTTTTATCAGATATTAGGAAAACAATATGGACAAAATTTCTCTTGCACACTATCTCCAGAAGCAATTTGTGGAATGGAGATACTTCACACCTACCAAATTGAAATGCCATAGCACATTAAAAAACAAAATAAGGTATGCCAAAAAAAAAGAGCCTATGCATTGAATGTACTCGTCACATGCTCTAAGAAACCTGCAATGTTGTTGAGGCTGAGAGAGATGATGGTGCCAAATTGGTGAGTCCATATAGACTAAAGGCTATGTCGATGCACAGGTGCAAACTTTCGCCCATTAACAACCATGGCTTTGCCATCAAGAATCACACCAAACGATTTCCAATCACCAGCCTTCACCTATTGTTAGCTACATATCTTTTTGTTGGTCATCTAGTTCATCAAACCAAATTCACAGCAACACGGATAATTCTATTAGGTGTTTGTTTTGCAAGCGGTATAGGGTTGGAACTTGATTCTTGATACCACATGTTTTGGTTGATTCTAGAATGAAGTTTTTTTTCTTTTATATAATACCTAAAAATATTGGTATGAGCCAACCCCTTCCCACCCCACCCCCCCGGGTTTCTAAACCCCATACCTTGGGGGTTTAAGGTGTGGGTTTACAACTCTTAAAATAATAAACCAAGGTATGGATTTACAACTCTTAAAATCATAAACCAAACACAAAGTATGGGTTTAATCTGTTCTAAACCCATACCTCATACCTAAATTCCATGAAGTAAACACCCCTTGAATGAACTATCACCCAACAAGAAATGAAGAAACAAGCAGAGTTCTAATAATTCATGTGCTCCATTTTCCAACAGTTATAGCCCAGATTACTAAAACCAGGTATTGCTCCTATGAAGAGGGATTAAATGCAATGATGGCTAACTGTCCAAAATAATACCTACCTCAAATGAAGCAGCAAGTCAGCAACTATGAAGAAGGCTGCTATTAGAGCAGATACCAACAACCTTTTAAGGAACAATCTATCCAGAGACCAGACCAGGGATGCCGAACAGAACAAGAATTTGCAAGCTGCACAACTGCATCTTCTCCCGATGATGCCTTCGCTGTGCATTAAAAGTTAATGCATTAAATCACAATAATTTCTGCAATTCTTTCAAAAATACAAGTCATCAACCTGGACAATGTAGGATGAATTATGAAATACCATGCAAAATTTTGATTGTTTTGTCTGTCTGTCTGCTGTTCAAACTTGATTGTCCTGTCTGGCAATATAAATTTTCAAGTGCACACAAAATCAGGGCTGATCATTGCTTGGAAACTTACTTGAAATCATGCACCACCTCGATCAACTAGCCCCTTGAGCTCAAATGGATATTCCACGCCCTGAAAATGAGAATTTACGGAGTATGAACTAGATGAAAGATAGGTACTGACTTCATCAATAAGATAAACCTCAATGATGTTTATACGGAAATTTTATATATTCTAAAGAGGATAAGCCACTGGAGAAAAAAAGATTAAAAATATGCAGCTTCAGCATGATGGTGTCTTTCAGAAAACATGCAAGTGGCACTGGCACGTAGCAATTTTTAGGATAGCTGATTTTTTTATTTTATTTTTTTTGATTTGGTCAGATATTGGGAAAACGGGATGGATACCTCTTGCACACCGTCTTTAGAAGCAATTTGTGGGATTGAGATACTTCACACCTACCAAGATTTTATTACCATAGAACATTAAATAAAAAAATAAGGTATGCAACAAACAAAAACATACTCACACACACCTACTAATGAAGATAAACAGAGTGGCTGATGAGAGGCTGAGACAAGAGCAGTGTTTAACCCTAATTTCACATTCCATGTGTTTGATGAGTTATATTTTTTGCTTTTTTACTCCTTGATCTGCTGTTTCAAAGCCTTCTGCAAGGCATATGTTTCATCAGGAAAACTCGTAAATGACATTGTATAGAGGACCTTAGAGCCTCGGGGCATCATCATTGAAAATTCTAACATATAATTCTCACATGAAAAATGAAGAAGCACTAATAGAATGCACAAATAAATTTGATTCCCCAAGTTTAAGTAAATTAAAATGCTGGCCCATCATTAAACAAACCAGGCACCAGTAATTTGGACCAAGAAACTTGAATACAGAACAGGATGTGTTATCTAGTGTAAGATTATATTGCCCGTTAGAAAACCTAATATATGCTATCATTCAAGAAATGTATGTAATGTAGGAGCCATGGTGGTACTCGGTTTTAAATGATTTTCATTGATGGAATGTATTATGCAAGGCTTTCCTTCCTGAATAATGGAGCACTGCAATTAGGATATTGATCACAGGCAAGGAGGATGCAAGGCTCATTGACTTTGTAATTATACCCCTATTAAAGGTTGATGGTGCCTAGAAAAAAAATCAAGGAGCAGGTGAGGAGCCTTGAAAGTCAATGGAGCATAATGCGGCAAGGGATAGTATAACTTGATAGCCCTTTAACAGGCCTTAAGTTGCTCAGGTAATATGGTAAACTAGGCAAAGATCTGGAAAGCATTCAAGAGATGGGCATAATTTTTTGCCACTTGGAACAAGCTAATGTAAAGCTGAACTTTTGATACCTTGAATGACTCCAAAGAAGTGAATGCTGCTAGGTGGGATTTGTTCAATATCCACATAGGTGTAATAGAAGCTAGAAGCAGCTAGCAGTAGGTGCCTAGGTGACCCTCTGTGACTGCTGTAGCCAACTCCCATAAGGATCCAAGGCTGCCATACTCATTGCTTGGCTGACTTGCAGTTCACAGAATTATGTGAGATAAAGCTTAATTAGCCATAGAAATCATATAGTCAACCATGAACACAGATTGACAGATTACCCTATTCTATGCTGAAATAGATGAAACTTGAAAGGAAAGTTTCTACTAGGCAACTAGTACAGGATCGAGCATTCCTTCTGCACTGAACCAAGGAAAGCATGATGGCCACCTTGGATAGATAAAAATAGGTGGTGGAAGAAGTTAAATACTATGAAGTGGAAGAAGTTAAATACTATGAAGTAGAAGAAGCCCAGAAGGCCATTAATTTTAACCATACTGAAAGGATAGACTTTGACAGAACAAACACCAAATAATATGTCAAACAAGAAGCAAGTTGATACAATGACTAATAAAAACAAAAGTTTATAAGGAGATTTCTCATAAAATCAAACATTACCAAGCTAAACATCAGATTCTAGATGACATGAGCCAGCCTTACCTTCAGGTGCCACATGCTAAATTGCTGGGGAGCTCTTTCCTCCTATCAAGCTGAACCCAGGTAGCTTCTTTTGTCCATTATCACTCGTATCTTCCCTCAACTTCTCCACATCATCCCACCTTTCGTGATTTGCGTAGATTCTGGAGAGCAAAATTGAGTGTGAACCTTCATGCATTTGATTCTCAGAGACATGCTGCAGGATATCTTCTGCAAGAGCGAAATTTTCATGCATTTCACAACATGCTAGTAGTGCTCCCCAAACACCAGCGTCAACTGGTTCAGACAAGCACAAGACAAATTCATACGCCTCTTTTAATTTTCCAGCCATTCCTAGGATCTTAACTATGTAAACATAATGCTCATTTCTAGGTTTAATACCAAATTCATCCTTCATTCTGCTGAAAAACTCCTCCCCTTCTCTGACAAGACCAGATTGACAGCAAGCATGAAGAAGAGCAGAAAATGTGGATTCATCAGGCATAAATCCTTTCTCTATAGCTTCATCAAACAATCTAAATGCCTGATCAGCATTTCCATGAGAGCCGAGACCCAAAATAGCAGCATTATATACAATGATGTTTCGTCTTGGAAGGACATTCAAAACCTGAATGGCCAAGTCCACAAAACCACACTTTGAATACATGTCTATGAGAGCGGAAGCAACCTTGATATCTAACTCCAATCCATGTCGAAGAACATAACCATGTACCTCACAGCCAGGCCCAACATGACCCAATCGAACTGAAGCAACCAGAACACTAGCAAGCAACACAGGATCAGCCTTCATACCTTTCACATTCCGTTCTCTGAATAACAGAAATGCTCTATAGATGTCCCCTGAATTCGCAAGCCCTGTAATCAAGGCGGACCAAGTGACTATATCCGGTTTAGATAAGCTGTACAAGACTCCCTGCGCCGAATCCAAGCACTCACATCTAGAATACATGGTGACTAGTGAGCTACCAACATGATCATTCAAAAGAAAACCACTCTTTATGCATAACCCATGAATTCCCTGGCCAATTTGCAACAACATGGGCCTATTTAGTGCCGAAAGCAAACCAACCACTGCATATCCATCCGGATGAATCCCCATATTTCTCATGGCATTAAACAACTTCAACCCTTCATCCCAAATTCCACAATACCCATAACCTTGTATAAGCGAATTCCACGTAGCCAAATCCAGATCAACTACACCATAAAACACTTTACTAGCATCATCAACAAACCCAAGCTTTGAATAAGCATTCACAAGTGAACTACCGCAAATAGAATCCATTTGCAACCCAGAAACTACTAACCCACCATGAACAAGTCTAACACCCTCAACATCATTATTCTCATAGCAAGCGCGTAAAATACAAGCAAACGTAAAATTATCAGGATATAATTCAGACCTAAGAAGCTGTTTAAAAAGATGAAATGCATTCTTAAAGTCATGAACTTGAGCATAAGCTCTAATAATGGAGTTCCAAAGATAAATGCTTCTTCGAGGACTTTCATCGAACAGTTGGTGTGCAGAGGTAAGATCACCATTAAGGGCATAATACCTAATGATTTTGGTGGCAAAAAATGGGTCAAGAGAAAGATGGGTTTTAGCAATCGCGCCATGTAATTGCTTAGTGTTTGAGATAGTTTGATGGGGTATTGAGAATTTGGACAGTATTATTCGAAGTGGTGTGATCATTGAATTTGATATTGTTTGATCATACTCTTTATATACCCTACAATGTTCTTTAATAATCTGTAGGTTATAGAAAGAGGGATTGAAGAAAATGTTTGTGGCAATTGAATTTGAGCATAGAAAAAAATTTGATCCAGTAGACAGCAGAAGCCAAAAATCAAAATAACTTGAGTTATTTTATTTTTTTTTTTTGATAAGAAAAATACAAAAGTTAGGTAAGTCTTCTCTCAAGACTATACCCTAACTTATCTAAAGAAATAAAATAAGAAAAATTAGCATCTACATTAGGGTCAATGTTTACATAGCCTGAAATTTGATGACCTATAGTTGCAACATAATCTGCTGCACGATTAGCTTCTCGATACACATGGCAAGAAGCAACAACCTCGAAGTGAGCCAACAACTTCTTAACGTCATTCATTAGCAAATGAATTTTCCAAGGAAAGCGTGCTTTATCCTGCAAAATATTTATAATTAAAAGGTTATCACCTTCAATAAAAAAAATTCGTATATTATGTTCAATAGCTAAGAGAAGACTGTTACGCAGAGCTGTAGCTTCTGCAATAATAGGAGTCGAGGTACCAAGATTATAAGCACGACTAACAACATTATTTCCTGTATAATCTCTAATAACAACTCCGGCTGACCCAAAGTTATTACAAACAGAACCATTAAAATTAATTTTGAAAACACCAGGGGCGGGGGGGGGGGGACCAAGCTACTTGGATGGTTTTATGGTAAAGAGGAGAATGGGTCTTGGGAACAATGTCATTAAAAGAATCAAGATGAGAACGAATATTCCATTCTGTAAATGTTTTGTAAGCTCTAGAATAAATACTCATAATAGTAGAGGGGATATGACTAAAAATAAGAGCATTACGACCTTTCCATATACTCCATAAAGAAACAATAATCTTTTTTACAGGAAGGTTAACATTATGACGAATGTCCCAAAAAAGAGTAAGGAGATTCGGGGTATTAACTTGAGTTCCCATCCAATGACTAATGATATCTGCATCCCAGTACTGTCTAATAAATGGACAATTTAGAAACAGATGATCCTGTGTTTCAGCATGTGAATTACAAAAGGGACAAGTATGAGGGACATTAATATTACGGTAAATCAAATTATTTCTAGTTGGAAGACCATTAAGTAGCAGTTGCCAAATAAATATCTTTAGTTTTGGAGCAATATCAAGTTTCCAAATCCAAGAAAATTCCCATTTTGCAGGAGAATTAAAGTTATGAGCTAACCAGGTTGCTGACTTTACCGTAAACTCTCCATTACCAGAAAAACCCCAACAGGGTTCATCAAAAGTATCATTAATTGGCAAAGGAATACCTTTAATGGTCTGAACTATGTAAGGAGGTACCACTAAAGATAGAGCTGCAATATCCCAAGAATGATCTTCAGTAATAAATTGATTAACTGTAAGGTCAAGATTTTGAATATCAGAAATATTTAAATCTAATAAAGTAATTAAATTCGTAGAAGAAAACCAATTATCTAGCCAAAAAAGAATATTAGAGCCCAAACCAACTTTCCATCTCATCCCCTTAAGAAGAAGAGGGCGAACTTGTAAAATTTTTCTCCAAATCCAGGAGTCCTTAGCGTGGGGTTTACATTCAAAAAAAGAGCTATGTTTTAAATATTTAGCCCGAATACTACGAACCCATAAATTATTATGATCCGAGATTAATTTCCAACCTAATTTGGCAAGGAGAGCAGAGTTGATTGCTTCCGTTTTCCTTAAACCTAAACCTCCTTGACTTTTGGGTTGACAAATTTTGTCCCAAGAAATCATGGGGAGGCCATTCTTATCCGGAGATTGTTTCCAAAAGAAATTACGGTTAATTTGATCCAAAGATTTAGTGATTGTTTTAGGAAGACGCGCAGTAGTCATAGCATAAGAAGGAAGAGCTTCCAAATGACTTTGAATTAAAACAGTTTTACCTGCCTTAGAAACTGAGTTGACAGACCAGTTATTCAATTTGTTTTCTGCTTTTGCTAAAAGGTGATGAAAATTCAGCTTAGTAAAAGACGATGAATTAAAAAGGACCCCTAAATAACGACCAAGGAATGATTTAGGAGTCATATTGAAATAACTTGCTAAATCAACTTTTCTAGAGTTATTTACTAGCTTTGAAAAGACGATAGAGGACTTATGGAAATTGATCAATTGACCGGACATTAAAGAAAATTCATTAAGGATATCCCTAAGAGTAGCACAAACTCTAGATTTGGCCTGACAAAATAATAAACTATCGTCTGCAAACAGTAAACAAGGGATGATCGGAGCAGATGGGGTAACTTTGAGATCAATGCCAGAAGATTTATCTAATGATTGATGAAGTAATTTTCGAGCAATAACTTCCATACAAATAACAAAGAGAACTGGGGACAAAGGATCCCCCTGACGTAGGCCTCGAGTAGGAGTGATTAGTTCTGTAGAGTTGTTATTTAGAGAAATCGAGTAAGAAACCGTAGTAACACAAGACTTAATCCATGTAATCAAAGTTTCATTAAAACCAAAAGCTTTTAAAGTAGCCCATAGGAAATCCCATTCAACCCGATCATAGGCTTTTTCCATATCTAATTTCAAGGCTAACCATCCTGACTTATTTTTGGACTTATTAAACATATTTAAGATTTCTTGGACTAACAAAACGTTATCTTGGATTGCTCTTTCCGGGGCAAAAGCATTTTGATATGGTCCTATAACTTTCTTTAAGAATGGTTTAATTCTATTTACTAGAAGTTTAGCTATTGCTTTATAAATTGTAGTACAAAGACTAATAGGGCGAAATTGATGTGCCTTATTTGGATTGTCGGTTTTTGGAATTAGAGTAATAATCGTATGATTAAGTTGTCTTAATAAAATACCATTATGAAAAAAACCTTTTATTGCTTTACAAATATCCATTCCAATGATAGGCCAATAATATTGGAAAATTTTAGGCCCAAAACCATCTGAACCCGGAGCTTTATACGGAGACATATCGAAGAAGACTTGTTTGATTTCTTCATCTAAAAAAGGTTGTGTCAAGGTTAGATTGTCTTCACTAGTAATACATGGTTGTATCCAAGGAATGGAAATATTACGAGAGCATGTATGATCTGAGTTGAATCGTGCACGCGAATAGGTTATTTATCTTTTATTAGGGGTGGTTAACGCGCGCATAATTAGCAAGATTCGAAAAGCTCTTTCATTTTGGCCTTACATTACAATCTTAATTGTTGGTATCATTAATAAGTGAAAATAGGTAAACAAATATTTTGTTAGGGTATAAATATCCACACACTATTCTTAAGAGTTTAAAAAAAGAGCTAATTAGCATTAATGTGGGTAATTAAGTAAATAAACATTTTAGAGGATATAATTGTCAAAGCACTATTCATAAGAGTTATCTCATACTTTTTTAAAAGGTAGGGATCAGATTGCTAAAGGTGTTAAAAATTAACCCGATCCACTCAATTCAGATTTCAACTTACATTGACACAATAATTTATCACGGAGTATGACTGAATTTTGAAATAGATTCAATCTTACCCAACCAACCTAACCGAACTCGACCCACTCTATTAATCACTTCTCCAGTTTTCCGTTCATTCATTAGAAATCATAAGCTCTATTTTGTTCACTTTATTCACTACTTTTTTTTTTTTTTTTTTTTGAGGAAAACTTTATTCACTACCTAATATTCAATAAAAATTATTTTGTTTGGTAAATCTTATTTCAGTTCTGTAAAAATAAGTTAAATTCAACAAAAATAAATTCAGCTCATTAAGTAAAATTATTATTCAGTAAAAATTAGTAGAAATATAATAGAGAATCATGAAAAAAATTAATTAGTTGAATAAGTTAAGTAAAGATAATGATGATAGTGTTAGGCTATGTTCACTCCACTTTATAATTGCTTCAAATTACTTATCTTTGTACACCTTGTTTTTGCTAATCTGAATTAATATGAACCTTTGCTTTAACTGATCTGAACTTATTTGCTTATGTGATTGTCTGATTTAACTAAATTTTAAATAGGCACAATAATCTATGAGTAAAAAATAAATCATACTTCCTCCGTTTCTATTTAGTTGACGCATATAATTTAGGCACACATATTTAAGAAAGGATATAGAATGATAAAGCAAGTGGGGTACATTATTAAATGCAAGGTATAAAACTTATCCAATAAGAAAACGGTGTCAACTAAAAATAACTTCCTAAAAAAGAATATGTGTCAACTAAAAAAACGGAGGTAAGTGTGATGTTTAATCAGATTCGTATTATTATGTTTTTCCAAATTTTTAATATTTATAATGTGGAAATATAAATCTCGTCAATACATACATTATGATCTGATAAGACATCAATTAGATTACATGATTCTGGTTACAAATTACTTTCCATTTCCTTTTTCCGGACAGGTATTTATTTATTCTATGTTTGTTACTATTGTTTTGTAAGTCTTATTTATATTATAGGAGGGATAGGTTATTATTCTTTATTCTATATTCTTTATATTAAAAAATTTATTCTTTATAATTTTTTTGTAAAAATATTTTTTATTTGAAAAAAACCTAATAAATGGATTAAATTTATGGATTGGATCATTAAATTAGTCAAATTTTCATTAATTTCATATTGCTATTCCGTATGTTGTTGACAAATTGAAAGTGACTCAACACATATATGGTTCACATTATGTATAACCAACCAACATCATTAGAAATTAAATATCCGCTTAAGTCGATCAATCACCCTCCACGTTATTCGAAGCATATTCACACTTTGAAATCGTTTCAATGAATTTGATTACATTAATTTTGTTTCTTTTTATGTGTTATTACATTAGGGTTGGTTAGTGTTTTGATAGTTAAAAGAAATAATTCCGGTGGATAAAAGGTACTGATGTTTGAAAAAAAAAACTTGAAAATGACTCATTTAATTAATGTATTGAACTTCAAATGTCCATAATTTATTGATTTTGCAATAACATGTCTAATCCCCTGATATAACGTAGTCAAATAAATTAACTTTAATTCCCTATTTTGAGCAAATAATTTGTAAATGGAATAAACTATTTAATTATTTTTAAATCAGGATACTTCTTATACATGCTTCAACGGCTTGCCATTTTATCTACAAATAATTTTTGTATGGGATTTTGGGCTATTTATAGTCTCGTAGATAAACTTGGTAGGTGGAAGTTGTGGTGGTAAAATTAGTTATATAATTCTAGATCTCTCTTTTTCTCCTTTTATTTTATAACATTTGTATATATCAACTCTACTAGGATTAGATATTTCCATGGAGTACATCAAAGGATTTTGGGAAAAGATCTAGGGCTCTAGAGTCTAGGCACAACAAAAATTGATTTTAGGACACTCTACAGCTTCATGTGCGAACTGAGAAGAGCATTGAAAATGTTTTTTTTTTTTTTTGTTTGTTTGTTTGTTTGTTTTTCGCCATAGTTGGTTAGCCTATTATTATATTTTACCTCGGTATGCTTTATTGGAGGTCTTGCAATCACAAAACTTGACTCGGTCAAGAAAACAACAATAAAGATTAGATTTTATTAGTCATTCATTCACAAAGGGATTATAAAGTATGATAAAACAGAGGAAATAAATTTTAGGGTATTTTGACTTTTACCACCTTCAAATAACCACTTAATTGAATTTACCACCTCCAAAAAAAAAAGATTTACTTTACCACCACCAAAATTTCCAAAAATTCGATTTTACCACCAACTAACGGATTCCGTCCATGAATCCGTTAGTAGGGCCCACCTTTTTGACGGTTCTTCTTCATCTTCCCCGATTTCCATATCAACCCAGCCAGCAACGAAATTAACACACCATGGTTGGTCGGAATTTCGTGTGGGGGCAAGGGAGGGGTCGGAATTTGGTGTAACCTAGGGAGGTGATCGGAATTAGGTGGTGGTTAGGGTTTTAGGAGTGCGGAATTTGGTGGTGGCTAGGGTTTTAAGAGTTGTCGGAATTAGGGGGGCTATATGGGTGGTCAGAATTTGGTGGCTAGGGTTTTGAGGTCGGAAATTGGTGAAAGGGGGTCGAAATCCGGTGTGGGGGCTGTGGCTGGGTGCGGTGCGATGCGGTGTTAGCGGTTAGGTGGTGGGGTCGTTGGTCGTAGTGATTAGGTGGTGGCTAGGGTTTTAAGAGTTGTCGGAATTAGGGGGGCTATATGGGTGGTCGGAATTTGGTGGCTAGGGTTTTGAGGTCGGAAATTGGTGAAAGGGGGTCGAAATCCGGTGTGGGGGTTGTGGCTGGGTGCGGTGCGATGCGGTGTTAGCGGCTAGGTGGTGGGGTCGTTGGTCGTAGTGATTAGGTGGTGGCTAGGGTTTTGAGGTCGGAAATTGGTGGAAAGGGGGTCGAAATCGGTGTGGTGGTTGTGCGGTGCGGTGCGGTGCGGTGGTTGTGGCTGTGCGTTGCGGTGGTAGTTATTAGGTGGTGGGGTTGTTGGTCGTAACGGTTAGGTGGTGGGGGCTGGTAGCGGTTAGGTGGGGGGGGGGCTGGTCGTAGCGGTCAGGTGGTGGGGCAGGTCGTAGTCGGTCCGGTGGTGGGGTCTCGACGGTGGCAGCAACCACCGGTTGATGGATGGGGTTTTTTAATTTTTTTTTTGTTTTTTTTTAACTTTTTTTTCTAAAGCTTACCCAATAATATGGCGACACGTGTGCAAGGTAGGCCCCACTAACGGATTTATGGACGGAATCCATTAGTTGGAGGTGATTGGTGGTAAAACTGATGTTTAATTTTTTTATGAGGTGGTAAAGTAAATCTTTTTTTTTTGGAGGTGGTAAATTCAATTAAGTGGTTATTTGAAGGTGGTAAAAGTCAAAATACCCTAAATTTTATTATTAATCTTTATTTGTCCTCGTGCAATTTTGATAAAATATTTATATCTTACAATATTACATCATTTTGATTTTCATATTTATAACTTCTAATAATATGTATTAATACAAAGATATTATTCGTAATAATATACTTGAGACAAATCAAACACAGAATAACATTTTTCATACAAATATATATATATATGGTCAAAGTAGAGATATCACTACATTTGAATCGGATTTGATAGAAAACTACTCCGTATCTCTTTAGTTCTGTGCTCAACCAAAAAAGGTTTAAATTTTCTACATGCTCATGCTTAGCTTTATTGAAGGGTCCTTCAATCACAAAACTAAACTCGATCAAGAAAACAACATTAAGGATTAGGTTTCATTAGTTATCTATAAAAAGAATAATTACGTATTACCTTTGTCCTTCATCTACTGTTTAAATGTTCAGGGGAAAAACATTTAGCAAACAATAGTAGATAAATTCAGCAATGATAATGTTTTCGGGCTTTAATAAGGAATGCCTTGCAGTATATAGTTCAACTTTGCCAATGAAGCTTAGTGATTCTAATGTCGATTAGAATGATTGAAAGCAAAACTGAGCAGAAGTCAAGATATTTCAAATCAGACAGTACATTCAACTATGAGCAGCCCCTTAAACAAAACCAGCGCCAGGATAAGGTTTAAGAGCCAGATTACACCATAAATCATTAAATCTTTGAAATCAACAAGGAAAGCAGACAATCAGTACATTGCTTATTTCAATATTTCTAATAAACTTATCATCACGCTGAACATCAATGTAAAAGCTAATAATCACACCACCTTCTCAGAGATGAAGAAAGGGGTTGGGCCCGGCCGCCCAGGACTTGTCCGTCTCTGGGAGATTGGTGATGGTGGATAACTTGGCGTCTTTGTTCTCAGACTTCTCCGTGCCATGTGACTAGCACGGACAAGCATCTTCCTTGTAGAAACACCTGCCTCGTAGTGTTTCGCGAGCCACAAAGATTCCTGCAAGTCAACTTTTTTGGAGAGAAAAGCAGAGAACCACCAACTTGATTATTACCATCATTCTATGCTGAGTATAAAATCATTAGAACAATGTGTCTAGGATGAGAAAATTCTGTTAGCTTACCAGCTGATGAAAAACCCGGTGCAAAGCCGGCCAGTAGGAAGAACAGTACTAGAGCTGATGCCACCAACTTTGCTTGTATCTTTTGCATCTTCAAAAGATAGGAAATACCAAATATACTCCACCAATCCTACTATGGAATAACGAATGATGGATTGCTCTTATAGAATGGTTTTTTCACAATTCTTTTGACTTAATCATTTGCATTATGTGTTGTTTTGAATTTGATCACAAAAAGTGGATTTTTCCAGTGAGAAAGCAAATAAAATATTTGACCATTCAATCTTTCCACACTGAGGAAAACAAGTGACCAAATAGTTTTCTTTTGTGTTGTTTGGTAGGTCGGTGGTAATGGTAATGAGTTTATAGGTAAATTTACAAGAAATATCTCATGTCAGAAAATTAAATGAACTCACTTCTGATGATGAGCAACCTTTGGCACGAGCGATGGAGGTTAGGAACCCTATTGAAGAACTGAACGGACATGATTACCTTCATGAGTCGAGCTATTTGTTGTTTGTTTGGTCGGTTGCTGTCTTGCTGACGCTATGATCACTGCCTGGTAATTGGGGAACCATAATGCTTCTTGTGGACCATTTACTAAGGAGAGGAAGTAGAAACAACATTGTTGAAAATGGCCATACCTGAAGATGCATGTTCTCACTTGCAAATTTGACCTCTATTCAACAGTTGTTCTATCATGCATGCTTTAATTAAGAATTTCATGTCAAAGAGCAAACTAATACAGTAGGACTTTCATCTCATTTGTCTTCTATGAAAAAGTCTACTCTGTTGGGGAATAAGTTGGACACTGTTCTTGTTCTCGCTTTAAAGCTCCTCTCAGACAGTAATCACCTACAATTAGATTTCAGTACACACAGCGCCGCAAATATGAAACATTAGATCCAGCAACTAGTAGCTATAAATATCTTAGGTTTTTATGATTAACATCCTACAATATTAAAGCAGAGGAAAAAAAGAGAATTAAGAAGTTTTATTGCACCATAATCTTTATATAAGATCACAATGCCATGGACTCAAAATAAATCCAACCTAATAGTAGCTACATAACTAGGGGGTTACGGATGATGCCCTTATATTTCCTCTCTGAGTTTATATCTGAATGCAATGCAGCAAAACATGGGTGAAAATGTTTGATTGTACTCATTGTAGAGAATATGACTGAGAAAAAATCAAAGACAAGGATCAACAGAACAACAAAAATCAAGTTATAGCAGTCTGAATAGATAGATGAGTAGATATTTATCAAATATGGAAATCAGACATCTCTACCTGCAAGCTACAACTTGCAACTTGTGGCATTTTGTTGACTACCAAGGTCTTCACTATGCAAAGACTGGAGTGTTAAACACAATAACATCGATCCCAACAACTAGCAAAAGCATGCTATCAAGTTTTTAGGAACTAACAATGACTTCCAACTTTCCAAGTATTATATATTAGTCTATCCTGAATACTGCAGAGGATTAAACACAAACAGGAGGGTAAAAAAGTCAATCGATCAGTACTATCAGGTACTTCAAATCAATACTGGATGGGTGGAGCCAATGAACAAACGAAAAATAGCTGATAAACTAGAAATATACCTAATGAATGGTGGAGTTAAGGCTTTACATGCTGTGACTAAAAGGAGCATCAAAACAAAAGCACAAGATATATCAATGCTGATGCGAGGGAAAGTAGATATAACGATCCCTGCACTAAAAAGATTCTACATAAACTCTCAGTCAAATTTCTGAATGAATTGTCATTTGTAATAGGCAAGGAAAACTGGAAAGCAATCAGCCAAAAGCAGATAATCAGTTGCTAGCAATTTGGTTACACAAGAGATAGATGCCAATGAAAATGCCATCCTATGTCTATGATATAGCACATATGAAAATCTGTTTACAAGAGTACATAAACAAAATAGTGTCATCCTATGGTAATTACCAATTGAACAATCTAGTTTGACAAGAAAGCAAAGAAAAGGCATAAATTTTAATTACAAATCAACTCATATATATTGTCCATTATACAGTCACCAATTAAACAATCAATCAATATGATATGGACTATGGTTCATCTTTCAGAAGGATTCCACACATAACAAAACACAACGCCTACACTTCAACATTTCTAGACTTCCTTCAATCTCCAAATAAAATCCATAATCAATGAGATACAAGAGAGATTAAACAACAGTGGAATCTGCATCATCCAGAAGCAGTCTTCTTGCAATCCCAAATTCCCACCAACTTCATTTGACAAGGATTGTGTTTACATGCTCCTAACCGCGACAAATTGGCACTAAGGGGGAATTGTTTCAAGTCCATCCTTCCTAAATTAAATGGACTACTGGATTGAAGCATATCATGCAATAAACTATCCACCAAAAGGAGTCCACATATCAACATAACGCCTCAAAGACTTAGACATTGCCTTTTTCCAAGCAATCGAATTCGGCAAATCACCTGTAAGAGCAAGGGAACTATCATCCTTCCTAGTCCCAAGGTTCAACACAAAGAGTTGATTAGGGAAAACCTCATACATTGCCTTCAAAGTCTCTTCCATAACTAATTTCCCGTCTCTCCTCGAATCCTCAGCCTCAACACAACTCCCTCCCACATTCACCATAATCCTCCCACCTTCCCTCAATTTCTTCTTCAACTTCTCCCATGTCAAAGGGTCCTGAAGTTCAGGTATCAAACTTCCTTCACTAAACAAATCAACCAAAATCCCAGAAAACCCATTTCTAAGACTAGCTTTCAAAGCATCACCAATGTAAACAAAAAGCCTATCAGGGTATTGTCTTTCGAGTTTCGAAAGCCCGAAAAATTCCCTCCCCACATCAATTACAGCAGGATCAATCTCCCAACCATGAACTACACCTTGAGGGTACAATTCCAACAAGATTTTAGCAGCTGAACCAGCCCCAAAACCCAAAACCCCAATTGGCCCAGGAGGTATAATTGGAGGCAATGTCCCAAAAACATCAAAGTAAGTATCAGTTAGGGTTCTAAACAAGAAATTGATACTATGGATGTTTCCAGGACCATCTAGAAGGAGAAGTCTAGAACCCCTAAAAGGGTGGTCAGCCTTTCTAGAAACTTCTAGAACCCTAATGTAATTATAACGAGACTTGAATTTTACAAGGGTTTTGACATAATCAATGGGAATCCCATCTTCATGAGTGTTTGAAGGGGGAGATGAATGGTGGGTTTGGTCGGATTTTGTGGATAAGGGTTTGGGAATTGGGCGGGAAAAGAGGGGTATAGGAGAGAGAAAGCTGAGATTTTGAGGAGTGGAGGAGAGAGAATGGTGGGAGAATTGAAATGGGAAAGGTGTATTTGGAGGGAATTGAGGAGAAAGAGTGAAGCTTGAAAAGAGTGTTTTCATGGAGGTTTAACTGGGTTTTTGGGTTCTCTGATTTAATGGAATACTCTGGTTCTCTATGAGATAGAATAACACCTCAACTGCAATTAAAAACCACCCTGAAATGTGATGTCAGTTGGTTAAACTGGTGGTTGGTATCTCAAGAGTATTACAATTTTACTTATACGGAATTCCCAATTCATCTTTGTAATACTCCTTCGTTTCATATGAAATACAGTATTATTAGGTTCGTCTAAATGTGTAATTTATAATTAATATTATAATTTTTTTTTTTTTTTTTTTTATATACACTTAAAAGTATTGTAAAGGAAACTATATTATGAGACGAAACTAACTCTGATCTCTAGTGTAATGTGCTTTGAATTTTAACCAACCTCATTTTCATTAAAACTATATGCGCTATATTAATTTAACAATTTATGATAAATGTTTAATAAAAGGTGGATTATACAAGGAGGAAATACAAGTTGATCTACTAGATCAACAAAAATTGTCAATCATAAGGGCATTTTTAGTTTTTCCTTCATTTAGTATAGGACAATTTGGTAAAAGCATAAGCATGATTAGGCAATATTGTCAAATCACCATCTCCATCTTCCAGTTGAACGACAAACTTACCACCATAAACACCAAGCCTCATGGCCTAAGGCAGCGACCACAATCACCACCACTATGACACCCCTGTTGTCGGCAACCACCAACAAGAAGGAATTGGTGGTGAGCACGGTACAACATCCTTTTTTTATTTTTTTACTCTATTTTATAAATGGATGGCGATTTGCGAAATTTTCCGACAGAAATTGAAGCTCCAAGGGTAACATTAATGGAGGAGGATAGCACCCCTTCCCTTTAGGGTTAACCATGCCCTTAATTTCACCTTTTTAACATAGGGGTTTCATTTAATTTGATGTCGTCGATAGAAGATGATGGTTTCGGTGAAAGGTGGAGATGATGCAGATGGTGTCGTTGGAAGGAGGAGGTGATGCAGATGGTGTCGGATTGGTGGAATTGGTGGTATCGGTGGAAGGAAGTGGGAGGTGTCAGTAGAAGGAAGGTTGAAGCTTCAATGAAATATTAATGTCTACCTTGATGACTAAACACTGACTAAGCATAGATTGACAAATTTTGTTGATCTAATAGATCAACTGGAGCTCCCTCATTATACAAGTACTTGTATGAACAAAGACTATTTAAGCTAAGCAAACTTGAGCAAAAACTGGAAAAGTTAGTGAAGATAAGATAATACTGTAATAAATTAAATTCAAAAAAAAAAAAAAAAAAAAAAGAAGTCAAATTCAGCTCAAATAAAACATTCTTTTACAAGTGGTTTCTCAGATTTGCTTCAACTTCTCTACTAATCTTTCTATATGAATTAGATGGGCATGGGTAATGGAAATGAAGTTGCTTCGATTTCTGTTTAATAAAAACCTGAAACTAGACTACACCAGTCTATTATAATCGTGAAAAAAAAAAAAAAAAACACACAATATGCTACACATCTTCAATATCCCACTCACCATCTCAAGCACACTTCCAACTCGAACCACAACCTTATCCACTCGATCATCTAAAACCACAAAGAGCAGGAAAAGAGAGGAAACCAACGATGACAACTTTGAACTGAAGTTCTAGCTAATGTTAACATATAGCACAACAATCTTCCATTGAGAAAGATACAATTGGCAATTTTTTTTGTCCAAAATGGAGGCAGTTCTGCCAATAATAGAGTTGCGCTGACTTCTTTCTTTTACAATCCCATAACAAGATGAACATAGAGTAATTACACCTGATTAGTTAATAAAAAACAATGTCTCCCTTTTGTCAAATAAGCTCCGATCTTCAGGGACTGTCCAGCATATGTCAATAAGAGTGTCATTCCTTGAGTGAGCCATGCAATCAAATAATCCAATGCTGCTTAGTATCTTTTCTCACATTCCACGTCTGGGATGTCATCTGCATAAAGAGTAGCAAAAACCACTGATGTTAGCTATTGCTATCACAGAGCCAGAAATGTCATTGCAGCCTAATATATTGCACTGCAACAGCCTTTTGTAACACAGGCAAAATCCTAGCTAGGAAAACCTGAGGGTACAAGAAAGACAGGAATCCCTCCATCCCGTATTAAAGTTAAATAAAGAAGTAAAAAATTGAGTGTAAAGGTGGGTCAGTGGGTGTGGGGGGTCTAACTTCAGAGGAAAATCTTACAGTAAAATTTCAACTTAAATATGGGACGGCCATAGTTAGTATATGATGACAAGATATCTAGGGTAAAGGAAGTATTATTAAGAATTAAAGGGAAGAGAGCAAGTCAATCCCCTTCCAGAAGAAGATTTCGTTTGCTGTTATTAGAAGTAGGAAAAAAAAAAAGAAGGGACAGAGAACAAGCCTCGAAATTAAAGAACTGGTATCACAGTCATGCTTTACATTTCCCTACACCCATTTGGCCATTTCAGCACATCTAAGAGAGTCAACTGTGGGCAATCATTTCCTGAAATTCCCTTCTTGAAAACCCTGGACTAAAAATACTAATGGGAAATCAGCCTCAGGGGGTAATGGTTTTGGCTATATGTCATATTACTAGAAAACACTCGATGAAGATAGGGATATATGACATGTGGATCAATCTCAATATACTCCCTCTCTCTAGCTATGGCAATGGGATGGAGTTAAGAAACAGGAAGGCAAGTTATATTACTTATATAACATGGGAATAATATAAATCATACTTGCTGTAAAAAAAAGACTTACTTTCTGCCATCATTTACTACATACTGTACTCAGGTTTCAGGGTCCGGGGTTAAGGAATCATATGGTCTTCAGGATCAGAATCATAATCTTCACCATTCCAGATGCGAGGTTTTGGTCTTTGGTCCTTATCTTCTTCTTCCTGTACAATCCCAAATTCATATATGATCAAAATCAAAACATTTTGGAGACATAATCAATTAACCAAAATGAGGAAATTAAAGTTCACTGGCAGTGGACCTCTTCTGGCTGCTTTGTGATAGGAGGAGTTGTCTGGAATTGAACACTTGGCGCATGAGGTATTCTAGATAGTTGCTCTAGAAGAATATTCCTGCAAGATTACAAAGGGCATGCATCAAAATCAGAAGACAAAGCCGAAAAAGTTACATAAACACAGCCCTTGATGCATACAAATAATGGCAGTGAAACAATGCATAAACATTTAACACTATTTCAACCTATAGTCAACCAAATAAGCTTTGGCACTTCCTAGGAAAAAAAAACTTCGTGGGCATCGCAAATTCCGGGCAAGTAAAACTTCCAATTGCCATAGCCTAGAATACTCACCAGTCACCACCACACCTCCAACAACTAATTCGTACATAATAAGTGGATTAATAATATAAAAAACAAAAACTGTAATTCACAGAAGTTAAACATAATCTCATTGCCTGGGCAATTAATCTTCTGAAGCACTAGTTGCATACCCTGTATCCAACTCAGTAAAGTTCAGTTACCACTAAACCATACCCAAAAGCTAGAACTTAGGCCAATAAGAAGCAAATAAAGACAACTTTGAAAATAAATGCCCGCACTACTCATCTCAAATATGGCACATATAATGAAATAGCTTAGTATATCACTGCTACAAGCTGCAGCAATATACGTAATGCCCATAACATCAAGTAAATTAACCTGAATATCCTCAAAAGCATTGCAAAAATTGAATTCACATGGTTAAACAAGAAATGCAGAATTACCGAATTTTTTCCATATCTTTAGGCGAGTTCTGGTTTTCCATGTTACTAGGCTCAACATGAAGGACGTAATCTGGGCCAAAATACTCATAATACTCGTTGTAAGGTAACTTATTATCAGGTTCTACTCCAACGGCAACTGCTGTCTGCATATTAACCATATGAAACTTGTTAAAATAGTAGATAAATAGATGTTAAAGTTGCAAAAGTGTAAACCAGAGACAGACAAAAATACTCACTTGCATGCACCTAAACACACACACACAAAGAGAGAGAGAGAGAGAGAGAGAGAGAGAGAGAGAGAGAGAGAGAGACCTCATAGCACCAACAACGAGCTACATTTCGAATAGTGTACCCTCCTCCACCCAGCACCATTAGAGGGACATTGAATGATCTGAGAAACCGCAAGCAATCAGCATGACCTTTCACAGATAAGTTAAAACATCCAAGCCTGTCACCAGAGAGTGAATCTGCTCCGCATTGCAGGACAACTGCATCGGGCTGGTAAACATCCATAACTTTTTGAATAATTGGCCTGAATAGACCCCGGAAGCTGTCATCATCTATTCCATCATTTAATGGGACATTAAGAGAGTAATGCTTCCCAGAATTTGCTCCAACATCTTTAATGTGTCCAGTTCCAGGAAAAAAGTCACCAAACTTGTGAAAAGAAACAGTCATAACTCTATCAGTGGTGTAGAAAGCTTCTTCAACACCATCTCCGTGATGCACGTCAATGTCAATGTATAGTACACGCTGCATTAAGAAAGAGTGAGATCAACAGAAAAGAGAAAGAAGTAGATGGAAACCCTAGTAATCCACACTCTGAAGGGGTAACTACACAGCCAAAAAGTCAAAACGAATTAGTGAAGCTGAAGATATGTAATGATGTAAAGCCCATGAAATTAGAGGTACAAGCCAATCAAAAGACCTCATGTAAAAGCACATATGCAGGGAGGACTCAGTGATTTATCAGCAATCAGCATAGAACAATAGAGTATATAATATAGCTCCCCAAAATCAATAGAGTTAAAAAAAAAAAAAAAAAAAACTAGCTAAAATAGATGAGCAAGGAGCTCAATAACCCTTCATCATGGAATGCTAGACCTACAAGGCTACACCCTAGACAGTCATGAAGCTATCAACAAGTCCCTCTTACCAAGTCCAATTGAGAGGAAAAAGAACTTACTGTCAAAATTTACTTGATCAGTTAGATTAAAAAAGGTATTTTAATGGAGCAACATTATCATAAAAGCTCCAAAAATTTCTTTTCCCATCTTCTCTCCTTCTGTCTCCGAAATATTAAGCCATAAATTTCATGCTGCCATTTCTCAAGGATCTCAGGCTTTGAATAATATTTGACAGAAGATGTCATCCAACCAAACAAAATGGTATTGCAATTTTCGATAAAAAAAAGCTCGAATTTCCCTTCAGTCTAAATAGACAATCAACTAACTCTAAATCCCAACTAATGTCACCAAATCAAACACTAATCATAACATAGGGAATGCAACAAAACAACATTTCCCCAAATAAAGTCCTTTCTCCAACTTACTTGAGATTTTACTACCACATTCCTTCCTACCAAAACTCAAGCATAATGCTGTTTGTAATAGAACCAACAACTCAAGTGAGTACAAGGTCAAGCCTTCAGAATACACTAACACCTAATGCAAACAGTTAAGAATCATCAAAACTCAGAAAAAAGGAACAAAGCAAAATATAAAAATATAAAAAGCCTAGTGATTTTTCAGCAGCTCAAGTATCCAAACTTAAACACCATTAAAATAGAGGAGAAAATCATCTTACCATGAAACTCAAACCACCGTAAGAAGCGCTAATGACTCATTTTGTAAGTAGTTTTAAATTGAGGCAATGTGTTTTTCTACACGAATTTTCGTAACCACCCAACACCATGTCTAAATTGTTCATGAATGGTGACACAAATTCATGATGACAATTATATACTTGGCATCTTGAGGGGTGGACAAGCATTACCATAGACATTGATATGAGACTTTCCTTACAAAATTACATATAAATTCATTCTCAATACCACCTATCAAACGGATCACGAGAAAACTAGACTGAGAGTTCACACTAGCACAATTCTCAAACAGTCCACAGGCTCAAACAGCATTACAGTCACAAAGCTAAATTGCAATTTGCAACCAACAGAATACTATGACACTACCAATCAAGTCAACCCCCACCCAAAACCACACACACACCAATCAATACTGTAAACCAATATATAACACCAAATTCATCAATAACTTAAAACAAATGAAAATTTTAAGCGACCCAAAACAGAAACTACTGAAATAATGTACAGTATACTTATAAATGCAAAAATTAAAAGGGATGCGAAAGTTAGGAAGAGGAAAAGAAAAGGCACAATACCCTATGAAATTTAAGAAGCTCAAGAATCCCAAGAACAATATCATTAACATAACAAAACCCAGAAGCCTCAGATTTCTTAGCATGATGCAAACCACCAGCCCAATTAATAGCAATATCAGCATCCTTCCGATTCAACTTAACAGCAGCACCAATAGACCCACCAGCAGAAGCCTGACAAAACGAGAAAAGCCCAGGAAAAACAGGGCAATCATCTCCAACATTGAACCTCTTCAAGTGCCGATTATGAGAGTGATCAAGTGTAGAAGAAGCAGAGGAAGAAGAAGAGAGAGAACCGCAGAGTTCAGGGGAAACGGAGGAGAGAAACTCGACATAATCGTCGGAATGAAAGCGACGGATATCGGTGGCG